TCTTCAAGTTCTCCTTATGGTACAAGCCCATTATGTACTCTCAACTGTGCTTATACTCAGTTCAAGTATGTCACCTGATAGCTGAAGCAGACAGTGTGTATACCAGGCCTTGTTACTGTCGCCCCATAAGGAGCGTTTAAAGGGAAGACTCTATGGGCAGACAAAATGGAGTCTAGCTAGCTTCCATTTTAAGTAAAGGAATTTCTCTCAGAAGTGTTTTCTCACCTAAACTACTAAGGTGCACACATCACTATATCTCATTGCACCTCTCTCCTTATCCTGTGCACCCAGCTCAAAGCTGGGCACTCCGCAACAATGGGCTGCACACCACCCAAAAAGATGCACACTCCCCCTTTCTAAGCGTTGCACACGGCCTCATTTTATGCACCCAGCTCATAACACCTTTTCCCGCCTCAGAGTGCTTATAAAACCTGCTCTGAGGAGAGCTCGGGTTCGTCACTGTCCGTTAGTCACCGTTAATTGCTGTCCATCTGTTTCCCTTTGACATCCCTTTTTCCTTGACATCTTCGTGGTTATGGTTAAGTGAGTGAGGCCTAGACCTAGCCCCTGTGTGAGGGAATTCCTGTCGGTTGTGGATTATCGGCATGGGCCTGTGAACTGGGACTCCGTATACCATCTACATCTACTCATCCATCAAGTCCACCAGAGTGATCGAAGGATCGGATGGGTTCGGGTTCGAGAGGAAACATACCACGCAGCAACCAGGATTTCTCCAGCCTCATCTCCAGGGGATCTCCCCACCAGTCCTCCCTCTAGGCTTACCATTAGCCGAAAGGTTGTAGGTCATGGGCATCAATCGCTGAAAACCTTTGTAACGTATACTTACCTTTTGTGTATAGGGATCTGTCGATCATCTTTTTTTTCAGGGATAGGGTAGACTTGTTTAAAGTTGCTTGTTTGTATGTTTGTGCATTTCACTTCGACAATATATGGTTTGGCCCTAAATTTGTGTGTGCCTGATTTGTGGCTGGTAATGACACCAGTGATCAGATACGGAATACCAGGTCAGATCTGGCTTCTGTGCAGAGACACTTTAACATCTTAATAATAAGGCCTATATTTCAATTGCTTGTCCAAGTCTCTGGGGCAATATTACTCTGGAGTCAGGGTCAACGAACTCTGCACCAAGGCCACTGGAAGAGAGTTCTTGGCACCCTTTTAAACTTCTTCCCACTGTATCTAGAGGTATACCAGCTTCAGCTCCAGCTTGGAGTCTGTCTCTTCTCTCAAACCAGATGCCACGTCCACAGATTGCTCCAAGGGCATATCTAAACTACATCCCTCTTTCGAAAGAGGGATGCAAGTTAGACAGATTGAAATTGCAAATGAAGCCGGGATCTGAATTTCCCACACTTCATTTGCATAATGGTGGCTGTGTGTTCTTTCAAAAACGGGCGTCTAGATGCTGTTTTCGGGGGGGAGGGGGGGAACCTTTCAAAAGATCCTGTACTCCTCAAAAAATGAGGTTTACAGGAACTTTAAAAAAAAACAACCCTTTTTCAAAAGAACCGTGTCTAGACGGCGGTTTCACTTTCAAAATACCTGTTTCTGAAAGAACACACAGCCGCTATTATGCAAATGAAGTGCGGGAAATTCAGATCCCAGCTTCATTTGCAATTTTGATCTGTCTAATTTACATCCCTCTTTTGAAAGAGGGATGTAGGCTAGACATAGCCCAAGAGATGTAATTTAAGCTTCATGTGTCTCCATTTTGGGGTGCAGGACGAGAAGATAAAGCAGCTGTCAGGGATGTATACTTTCCAAGGGAGCAAGAGACATCTACATAAGACTATTGCATGATGGGCAGGATTTAAACCCTGTGGGTTTAGAGTGCTATGCCAGTGATCAGCACATTTTTTCAGTCCCTTGTTCAGGAGATGTACAGGAAATCTGTCCAAGTCTCCAAAAAAACTACAAAAATAATGAGTGATCAATTTCTTCATGAAAGGGTTGAGTTTTAAACTAAAAAACAATGTATACATTGTCCAAGTTCCATTTCATTGCCATGGGCAAAAAAATGGAAGTGAAAAGTTGTAGTAACTGCAACATACTGTGTGTTTATATGCAGGGCTCGCCGAACTGCGGCAAGCCCTGCTCGCCAGCCGCGCTGTCCGGCAATCTGCACATGCACAGATCATTCTGCACATGCGCAGATCGTCCGAACCTAGCTCTTCCGGGTTACAATCTACTCGCCATAGGCGAGTAGATTGTATTATTTGTCGAGCCCTGCTTATATGGAAGCATGAGGTGATACAAGGCACATGCAAAGCACCAATACACATTGCTATGAAAAAAATTGTGAGTTTATATGCACATGTGAATCTACAGTGGAATCCATACTAAAATACACTCCAATAAGAACACTTGTTAAACAATGGAATTGTTTTACAGTTAGAAGGGAAACTGGCACCATTTTGCTAAAACCAGCAATATATAAGTTAAAAAAGGTCCTTCTCCACACAAATAAAATCACAAAATACAGTGTATTTGAAAAAAAAAATCACTCTCATTAGCACTTATGAGCCTAGAGCTGGAGGCAACCATTTGAACAGTGAAATAATTTTTAACACTGACATGAAGTCTATAAAAGATATTGAGGTCTTGAGAACTTTAAGTATATTTAAATATGAGAGCATTTATGAGTCTTGAATCTTTATTAAAACCATTTGGAAATTACGACAACATCTTTTTAAAACTTTAAGTTAAAATTAGTAATGCAAACAATTAAACGGGACCAATCAACTGCTTCTGAATATTTAATAGTCTCCTTAATATTTTCTGTTTTCAGCTGTTAAAATATTCATATATTTATCAAAGTACAACTGACAAGAAAAAGACTTCAAATAATAATGAAGTTAAATAAATTAAGGAAAATAAATGAGTGTATAAAGAACAGGAACATAAGGACACAATCAACTTAAACTCAATTCTTCGCTGGGACATATAGTTTATTGCTAAATGCCTACAGAATACAACACCCTGAAAATGCCTCTTATTACATTATGTTTTCAGCACATTTATTTCAATCAAATTAAATAATAACTGTACCTGATTCACTGCATCGTGCCTTAAATATTTCGAAGAAAGTTGGTCTCGCCACAGGTTTGTCAGCCATTTTATTTTCCATAACATCACTGGTATGCTTGTTAAAGAAGCCTGCAAAATTTTATTAAAATGCTTTGATACTCAACTATCCTAATGGCACTACTATGTGCCATGGCTTCCATTCCATTTTTTGCTCCTCAGGGAATGATGTAAGGCAGCAGACCCTTAACCCAAGTGAAGGAACTTTCTAGTTGTGGCAGAAGACTAGAAAGAGAGTCAGATCCAATCTCAGTTGACAGGATTATGGCTGCAACATATGCACTCCACACATTAATGAGTAGGTCATAAAAATCTAGCACAAAAATAATACGATCTCCAGTGTCTCAAGTTTCACAGCTGAGAAACGAAAAAAGAACTCAACTGTATAATAGAAGAGAACTGCATGCAAAGTACAGAATACTTTTGTAAAGTTTGACAAGAAATGAATTGGTGTTCTGAATTATTCTCAATCGATATAATTATATCCTACATAATTAGTGTATATAAGTAAAATCTGAAAAGCTGTTTTTGCTGGTAGATGCACCCATCAAATAAGAATGTGATTTAAATTGGAATACAGGCTAGACAGTTCAAAAACCAATTTTAAAAACACACACCTGTTGATTTTTTAAAACTACCGTTTCAAGTAACTAAATTACTGAAGAAAGTTTTCAAGTTTATTTACTTTGTGCATTTGAAAGCATTTTAAGGAGAGTCTATTTTACTCTTTCCTTTTGGATTGTTAGTCTGTCAATTTCACCTATGTTGCTCTCTCTCAATACTAAGAGAATCTAAAACATTTTTTAATATGGGAAAATGTTACTATAAACACACAAAAATTGGCCATGATAGTCAAAGGTAAGACTACCTGAAAAAAAAAAAAATCACACTCGATTTTTTAAAATGATTAATTAAAAAAAATGACGGTGGGATGGATATACACTAAACTTTACAAAGCATTTCTGAGGCAAGATTCAAGTACCATCCGAAACTGAGATCCGTTCACTTCCGAGGCAAGATTCAAGTGCATCCCAAACTAGGGATGTTAAAATGTGTGTAATTGATCAACCACGTAATCACTGAAAATGTCAGTAGTTACATGCAGGGTGAAAGCCACCTATCTAGGAGCCGCATGTAACCATGTGGATTACGGATGTAAGCAAGCAAACTTTCATAAGGCAAATGTTTTGCAGGCTGGGAAGGACAAAAATGGCCAGTGCTTGACTTGCTGCCTCTGTATGAGAGGCAGGGTGGAGGTGAACAGGACCCAGCCCTGCAGGGGGGAGACGGAGAGAGGAGGCTGCTCTGGCAGCAGCCCCTTTTCACATCGCAACCAGCTCGGGGCCATAGTGAACAGGGGCTGCTGGACCCAGCATGAGCCCATCTGGGATCACTGTGTCTCTGCATTTCAAAAGTAGTAAAAGCTGGGCATCTCTTACTACATTGAAAATGCAGAACTACAGTGGTCCCAGCTCGCGCCGGTCAGACGGAGAGAGGAGGCTGCTCTGGCAGCAGCCCCTTTTCACATCGCAACCAGCTCGGGGCCATAGTGAACAGGGGCTGCTGGACCCAGCATGAGCCCATCTGGGATCACTGTGTCTCTGCATTTCAAAAGTAGTAAAAGCTGGGCATCTCTTACTACATTGAAAATGCAGAACTACAGTGGTCCCAGCTCGCGCCGGTCCAGGACCTAGCCCCGCTATGGCTCTGCAGTTTAAATGTAGGAGCTAGACTGCCTGCACACCCAGCTCCTTAAACTGCATAGCATTAGGGGAGGTAGCTCCTGGACTGGCGTGAGCCAAGAGAGCTTCTTCCCTTATTGACAAATCGTGTAGTCCAGTGGTCTCCAACTTTTTTACATTCAAGATCACCTTTTAAATGTCAGGGCAAGCCAGGATCCATCCTGTCCCTTCCCGAGACCCCCACCCCTTTCTTGAGGACCTACCCACTCCAAACTTTTCCGCAGACTACCCAGTGCTAATGGAAACTCATAATTAATTACATAATTACACCCGAGCCATTTTGTAGTGCTGCAACTGGGGAGAATAAAAATTTAAATGAAACCAAACAGATTCAGCATTTTAGCTTTCTCATATTAATTGATCAAGCTTAATTTTAAATAAAGTAAAACATTATGACCAACACAAAAGGTTTCAATGTTTTTTTTTTAGTTATAGTAGGGGCAGGGAACTTTTTTTGGGCCAGGACCATTGATCCACAGAAAAAAATCAGTTGGGGACCACACAAGTGAGAAGCAAAAAATCCCCAACCCTTACTGATGTGGCCCCCAACTGAGACACCTCACTCTTCTGGAGCTCCAGTCCCACAGCACAAGTGGATGGGACAGAGAGGAATGAGGTTCATGACTTCCTATAGGCCAGATTTACTTCTCTGGGGTTTCAGTCAATTTTGTGGGAACAAAAATGAGGGGCTCAATGTGTGGGACACGGCTGTTATGGAGTGGGATAGAGATGCAGAATTTAGGTAGGAGGGGGGGTGCAGGGTCTGGAAGGGAGTTTAGCAGCAGAAGAGGGTGTGGGTAAGAAAGGGTGAGAGCAGTAACACAGAAAAGGTGAAAGGGTGAGAGTGCAGCCAAATAGCTAGTTGGGGAAGGAGGCAAAGTGGGGAGTAAAGGAAAGTGCAGCTTCTGCAAAGTAAAGTTGTATCCCCCCCATCACATCTTCTCTCTACTCCAGCCTCTCTCCCCTTAGCCCCATGATTCCCTCAGTTTGCTCCCCTGCATCTCCCCATGCCCCTCAGTGCAACCCCTTCCCCCTCCCAACCTGCCCCTGCATCCTCCTTCACCCCTGCTCCTGCCCCCACATCCTTGTGACCCCAGTGCACTCACCAGCGGGACAGCTGCACTGGGACTCCCGGCCTCCAGGGAGCAGTGCTGAGGTGAGGTGGGCAGAGTCTCTTCCCTGCCCTGCCCAGCCCAGCCCAGCCCAGCCCAGCCCAGCCCTTTGCCTGCAGGCAGCGGTTCTGGGGCTGCAACCGGCAGAGCCCGGGACCGCCCAGGGATGGGTTCAAGTGGGCCAAGTGCAGTGGGATGCTGGGAAAGGGGCTTTCTGAACCTGCATACAGCCCAGCCGTGTGCAGTGGGGCGATGGGGAAGGTGGGTCTCTGACCCCACACACAGCCAGCGTAGCCCTGTCCCCAGCGCACCATGTGCGCCAGCCACCCAGCCCCCTCCTGGAGCAGGAGGCTGTAACCAGACATGAACCCCATCTTGGTTTCTGCCCTCGCAGTCAGCCTTTGATGCCCTGGGAACGCAGGTGTGCTGCCTGTCCCTGACTCTACCATAAACAGAAACCAGACAGTAAATGGGCTAGCTGACGACTGGGAGGCCTCCCGTAGCCCTGAGGCTACTACCAGTAATTGACACGCCTGCACTGTCCCAGGAGAGGAATCTTCGCCCATCACATACCAGAGGTGCCCACTGTCTGCATTTTCCCAGGTGTGAATTATGCTTTGCACCCTTCGTGGGAAACTTGGCATTCAAAGCCATTTTTCCTAATTGGCCACCTTATACCCAAGGGGTATAAAGAGGGGTTTAGTAGCCCACCCCATTTGAGCTCCAATCATCTACACCTGCTGGCAGGTATTGATTGTCTCCCGAGGTCTGTGGGATGCCCAAGCTCGCCCTACTTCTTCCCGAGGGAGGGAGAGAAAGCCTCTGGCCACGCCAAGTCTGGAACGCAGGGGTGAGAATATATACCTGCTAGGTGTCTATTTTGCATGCATTTAATAAGAGCTCAGAGCACCAAAAGGGTTTCATGGTACCTGTAAGTGACTTATTAGTGTAATTTCTGTCCTGTCCTTTGTAGTGGCTGGGTTATCTGTAACACAGCAGTAGCATTTAACAGCTAAGTTTACCCTGTAACAATAAAATAGTAACTGTTTAAGCTTTAACCTAACTCCTTCAGTTGCTGTAACAGAACCAAGCACAATGTAAAAGAACTTCAGCCGGTCATAAGGGACAGGTATAGGAAGAGCTTGGGTGTTTTGGACTGTGTCACTCCCAGGTGACAGATCCGTTGGGGCATCTCTCAGTCTTTCCTGGACTGCCCGCTGCGAAGGGGTCCTGTATCCTAGCAACTAAAATCTGAGGTGTAATAAGCTCTTCCTATAAACTTGGGGCGTCTGAGAGCCTATTGGCTGCCCTCTGCGACGGGACCCCCGTCCTAGCAGTAAAGTCACAGACAAACTCTTTTTCGGGGCGGCCTGCTAGGCTGCCCACTGCGACGAGACCTTGCGTCTCAGCAGTTGAAGACTTGGGTGTAACACACACGTACACACTGCCCTGACCATCGGCTGACAGAGGCAAGAGGGGGGACGTGTGTGTGTGTTTGCACATGCGCCTCTTTTCCCCTCCCAGTGGCAAGTTAACAAAAAGGGGCAGTCACCTGGGCAGCTGCTCCTCTTTGATCCAGCCCAGCCTGATCAACCCCTGGTGTGCCACAATTGACCAGGTAGTGACCACTGGTGTAGTGGATATCAATTGTATCACCTACTTGTTTAGTCAGTTACTTGCCTCTCAACATCCTTAGTTTGGATAACTGATAAGCATGAGCATATCAGTTACCCATTTAAACAGCTAAACTCCAACATCCCAATTCCAAAGTGGGATTTTAAATTAAAAGAATTTTTTTAAATTAGCAATTTGAAATCCCAGTTTGGGATGGCACTTGAATCTTGCCTCAGAAGTACTTTATAAAGTTTCGTATACATTCATCCTACTCTAAAAATAACATGCACAGACAGACATTTTATTATATATTTAGCTTCTGTGTGACTCCTGTGCAAAAGGACAACTGATCACACATCACTCAAACCCTCCCTCATTCCTCGGTATGACAAGAAACTCCCTACCTAGAGTGGGAAAGGATTTTAAGAGTCAGTATTTTAATCCAATCTTGATAGAAGGAAATAACCTGCTCCCCTCACTTCCCTCAAATGTACAGGATCCCATGTTTATCCTTCACTGACAGGATGGGAGAGCGCTCTATTGCAAGAATAATCTTTAAGGCTCCTCATTTGTCACAGAAATCATGAATTCCATGACTCCGTAGGACCTCCATGACTTCTGCAACAGCTGGTGGTACGGCTGGTCCACATGGCTGTATGGGCAGCTTGAGCCAGCCAACTGGCAGTCTTGGGCCACCACTCTAGCGGTAAGAGTTTGGGTGTGGGAGGAAGCTGGAAGTTGGGGCACAGGAGAAGGGGAGAACTCTGGGCAGCACATTCTTTTTTGGGGGGAGGCGGGAAGGACACACCCTGGAAGCAGGGACATGTCCCTCCCTCCATAATTCTGTGTGCTGCCTCTACCTGCAAGTACCACCCCCACAGCTCCCACTGGCCACAGCTCCCAGCCCATGAGAGCTTGGGGCAGCATTCAGAGCTAGGAGCTAAAGGAAGCACAAGTCCCTGCTTGTGGAATCTGCGGGAGCCACAGGGAGCCAGGTGGGGAGCCTGCCAGTCGCACTTCCCCGCATCGAGGCACCAGTGGGAGTGAATCTTAGGTTGTGCACCACCAGCATCACCCCAGCATCAGTAGGGGGATGCCGGTCTACTAGCCCCAGACACCCTGTCGTACCCCTGGCAGCCCCAGGCCACCCTCCTCCCTCCACGTTGAGTCAGGGGGTAGAGGCTGCGTGAGTCACGGCCAGGCCACGCCAGTCGCACTTCCCCGCATCGAGGCACCAGTGGGAGTGAATCTTAGGTTGTGCACCACCAGCATCACCCCAGCATCAGTAGGGGGATGCCGGTCTACTAGCCCCAGACACCCTGTCGTACCCCTGGCAGCCCCAGGCCACCCTCCTCCCTCCACGTTGAGTCAGGGGGTAGAGGCTGCGTGAGTCACGGCCAGGCCACGGGCTTTGAATTTTCGCGTGCTGCCGGGCCTGCCTGAGACTTTCCCTGCAAACCGCCCGCAC